TATTGTAATAAGGCTTGCTACAGACTAGTTTATTACAGTGTACACATCAAACGTGTTTCATAGGTTTTAATTTTGTATATTTAGATATATGACAAGAAATCCACATTTTCATTATTTCACCAACAAATCGTAAAGAGATATCTGTCAATGAATATTTGGTCAATATTATTTAATATATAATGCACAACATTGTGAACTGTAGTTTACAGTATTATCCATCAACGTTGAGTACAAAGGAAGAGTTATGAATCATTGCATTTCGAAAATTTCTTAATAGTACTGCATTTATTGACTTACCAAATAAAATTTGGTTGACAAAATCTGCAATCATATTTCGCATACGAAATATCCCTTTATTATTCACTTGATTGTAGCCCAACTTAGATGTTTTACGTTGATACAGCGTATGAAGTATATTTGCAGTTCGACATTGTGATATTTTGACTGAACATAAATCTTATCATTCGTTCACTTAAAATGAGGGCAAGCGATCTCATTTTTATATGATTAGCTGAAGATCATTCTGTCAGTTTACTCATATGATATGATCTATTTGATTGCTTGATGCATTATATCATGCATGTACTAGTGCAGTGACTCACTTTGAAATCCATGTTGATCTTGTGTATATTTACATGAAGAAAATCTACATAAATATAATCATATTAATAAAATGTTCTTCATGAAAGTGAGATTCAATGGATGAGATATACTTATTTGCTTACCCGTTGCGTCGACTATCGTTCTTTTCATACTTTCAAGGTACGAACAAACTGTTAATTTTTCACCAAACAGATCTCTTTACAAACCTGGAAGCAATGGACGGCCGTTTCATCCTGGTATGGGACTCCTCAGCAGGTTTTCAGTGGTGGACTAGCTTCAAATGACTCATGATTTCAACTTGTGAAATTTCTTAAACTCTCCACAAAACCCATTCTGATAAGATCTCTTTACAACAAACGTTTCATGAAGTGGTATTTTCGTACATATAAATAAGTGAACACTTTTGTACCTAAAGCACTGGTTGCCTGAGGACATATGAACAAGAAATGATCTTGATGTTGCAAGTGAAAGATCACAGTTCTAGATCATGTAAAGTGAAGAATAACAATGGATTTCATAATCTTGTAACAAATCACAACATGAATGTGTTAAGATGATTAAAGTGTTGTTATCAGTTTGATATTATTAGATATAACTACATAAGTAATTCAACTGAAATATACATTGAGGCCATCAATGAACTCACATATGACTGAAAGTTGATTATCACGAAACCCGATCAAAGTACACAAATTGTTCCTCTTAACAAGAATGATTAGATTAACAAAATTTATTACATCTTGAATGATCACAAGAACGTCCAGAAACTGTATGAACAAAACGATGACAATTATAAGAGCGAGAATAAGTTGGCTGGATGACTATAAAAGCTTACAGATCAACACATGGTTCCACCAATCATATACAAAACAGTGAGGGCGGTAGGTTTCCATTTATCGGCGTTATAAAGTTTACTGCAGGTATACAAACTGGATGTCAGATTAAGATCATCCACGGAAATGCAACATCGAATTAAGATCATCTAATGAAATGTAAGATTCCTCATACCATTTTGTAGCAAAGTGGTTAGTAAACATTTTAAAACCGCCCAACAAACACGTCGAGAAACGTGGTATTAAGGGTGCATTCCAGTTCGTCGATAAGATCTAGATTACAAACACTAGAGCTCAAACGATAATATCCCTAAACGTAACGTTTAAACTGTTAAAAATTTTACACTTGACCTGGTCTCCGTGTAACACAGAACTACCATCTTTAAATCGGTTGTCTTCCGATATCTATTTCATGTCAGCAATTTTGATTATCTGATAATTGTCCAATGTATAGAGTGAACCAGTCCCTGTATGTAATCACAACGATTGACTATGTGATATTAAGTACGTTTCATTGCAATATCAGTTGTAACTCCAATAACTGTCATCTGATATTATTTAGTCCTTTGTTTAGTCAAACGACACATGCACGTTGTGGTGGTAAATGAATGCTCAAAATCAATAGTTCTGTAAATTTTTAATATTTGATGCTGGCCAAAATTATTTTAATGAAATTACTTAGCTGAATGCTCTCGATTACGTATCTGTACTAGATCACGAGTGGTTACTCCGTGCTCAACATCTTCAACAACCGATGGTCATCTAAGATCAGTCACCTCTTGAAATTGCAGTAGTCTATCAAATATATATCGCTGAAACTTTACATTTCTGACTTCTGATTCCACTGATTTGGCACATTTCGAATATCGAAGTTGTTACGGGTAAGGTGCTGTCAAACAAAAAATACTTCTGGCATCTTTAAATTTTAAAGTAAACGTAAACATTTCTACTTGGTTGTATACTAAACTCATATTAATTGATAAACTCAGTCAACTGAATTACTCCACTTTTCACTTATAGCTGATTTTCTTGAGTTTTAGGTAACAAATAGAAAATTACATACGAGTAAACAACAATACAAATGATGATTAAGTTTCAATGATTATTTGACAGAATTTCTCATTCAAACTCAACGAAGTTATACAACTAACATTTACTGCCTCTACAAATACAATTCCAATCCCAGTTGACTAATGATTGCCTGTCGGTTTGAGTCTGTATACACCGATAGATGGTATTTCCAATGAATCTGGATTAAACTGTCATTCATTCAGGTAGTTATGAATATATGCGTGTATACCGAAACGAGACATGTCAGTTACATCTGAAACCATTAAATCAGAGTTCCAGTTTTCACGAAAGTTTGTCAAATCAGGTTTCAGTTCTCCTAGAAAGTATGCTTTCAATGTAACGTAATTTGTTTTTGTTCTCCTGATGTCTATGAAGATATTTTGAAGATAGGCACCACATGCTCACTCGTTTATAGCATGAAACACACTGTTAGCTGCTCGTAAATACATTACTACACACACATATCTCGTTTTTCTTTACCTGTAGTAATCATAATTGAACTCTAAACTATCTATTGTCTACACTAATAGACTGTAGCCATATTTCCATTATATTGTACGACTGGTCATATTACTGGAATCGTAACAACCTCATTCGAATTGTTAATTATCTATAATTGTAGATTATGATACCACATGCAACTTGTACATACCAAAGCCTACTAATTAAAGTAACATTCTATAACTTTGATTTGTGTTTATAAATGATAACTGGTAGATTGTAACATTGAATTTTGGATATATTAACCTCATTGTCATTTTTGAGTTAATATCCTTTTTGGTCAATCACAGTATGAAAGTAAATACATTGAGTTATTCTACAAATATGAATATCATGTTACATACAATAACGATTAATATGATGGGTGAAAGTATATTTTCGAACAGTCACCGTAGAAGTTCATTTCGAAAATAAGATTTTGACCCTGTCTTTGAAGATCAATGAAGATACCTTAATGTTCCAACGGGTCGTGATATACACCAGCAAAACCTGATCCATATCGTCTTGGATTGAGTAAATAGAAGAATATTGCGGATTAGTAATTTTGAATATGGTGTTGGTTAAATTACGTTTACAGATAAAAATTGACATATGCATTATATCGAACGATAAAGGCTTTAGATCACCATTCAATTAGAACTGCATCTGATACATAATTCCAATCTTCAAATGTAGTGGTTTTAGGATCATTGAAGTTGAATAGAGTAAGGTTGTAGCGTGGCGTCGAGTGTAGTTGGACTATGAACTCCGCTATCAAGAAGCTCGTTCCAAATGACTCAATAAAATCCACGAGAAGCCAAATATCAAAAGGTCATTAATGGATTAAGTCGAGGTTTATTTACTGGCGATCTCGTGACATCGAAAGGATACTGAGATCGTGCCAGGGTACAAGCTTGGTTACAGAACGTAACCGAATTCGCGCGAAGTTACAATCAAAGAGTAAGAACAAGAATGGAAGCACAATATAGCTGTCATTAGCACAGTCAAACAAAAGCACATAAAAACAAGCACTGGTACAATTGGTTATAATAATAATTGTTTTCAATAAACCAATCGTGTTCTCGTGATAAATGTGAGTCACTACAAGTTAAACTAAATCACCTCGCTGTATCAGAAATATTTGTGTTGAATCTTCATTAAAATCAGAATTCATTGTGTTACTGCTTATAGTCGACAACTCAGTCTCATCACAAAAGATTGACAAGATTTCATTTTACTGCAGATATATGGACAACAAGTTTATTCTGTATAATAACTACACTGGCTTGATAGAAACAATTCAGCTATTCAATGAATTTCAACCGTCAATACGACGCACATATGAGAAAGAAAATGAAGGTAAATAACCCTTTGAAGATGCACTAAATAAAAGGAGAAACGCCGAGTCATCAGGAAGAAACAAAATCAAGAGTACCTATGATAGTCATTTGTCAAGTATGACAGTATCGGTTCTATATTTGCTTACCGTGATAATCAAATTCTTGTCTGTAATGTGTTCATTCATAATCACTTTGTGTTTCTCACTTAAAATACTTCTGCCACTATATCTAATATCCTTAAACTGATCGTAAAATTTTAATCATCCTGACACATTCGTGTCACGATCAATTTCATCACCGTTTGCCTTTATCGATTTCAATATGAACTACAAGAAACCCATTAAAACATTCAAAACTCGTAGGTAGATGTATTATGTCTATTGATAAAACCACTTAATACAAACGAAAATAATCATAATATGAATAAGCGCTACATATCAAGTTGTCTATAATTCCTATAAGCTCGATTTGTTTAAGCTGGCGTTTGAACATCCGTGTATGCTGAAATAGTAAATATTTCGATGGAACCTGGACCAAAATGATTTGTGGTCGTATTGCTTCCTCCATATATTTTTATTCCAATACGTGATGTATGAGATAAATTTGGAAGCGTTATATTAGATTTTGGTGTTCCACGAAAGTATGGTTTGAATGTACTAAATGGTATTTTCACTTCTTCTCGTTCTCCAGATGTCTATAAATATTTCATAGAAAACACATTGAATTATTCTACACAATTGAATATCTCATTACCTCAAATTGCGACTCATGTGATTCACAATTTCGTATATCTGAACATTCGCCAAAGAGTACAAATTGGAATTTAGAATTTAAACCTTGTCTATGTAGATCAATCAAAACACCTGTATATTTTGAAATATCCGGAGTATCCAATATCCTGTAGACACCAGCGAAACTTGATCCATTTTCCCGTGGGTTGAGTAGATATAACAATAATGCCGATTGATAATACTAAACATGATGTAACATACATTACATTTATAAGCAACATTTACTGTTCCATTTAGGTGTACGATTGTAGCTTTAGATCGCCCTCCAATGAGAATAGCATCTGATACCTCAGTCCAATTTTCAAATACTGTTGTGATTTCAGGATCGGTGAAGTTGAATAGAGTTGACGTTGGTTCTAATGAATTTTCTTCCTTGGCATTGTAAGTGTTGAGCAATAAAGTTGTAAATAATAAAATGACAACAGAGATGTATTTCATTATTATTCTGAGGTGAAACGGTTTCGAATGTAATTGAATTATTTATCTGTAAGGTAAAATAGAATTAAAATTGAAGTTTATTTGAAAATGTGCTATCAACATAGGTTGAGATCGTCGTGCAATATCGCGGATGGTTTGATGTTAGACATTGAGACCGTTGGAAGCCGGATGAGGTGTTTAGAAGTGTAACGTTTGAGCGCAATCGTCTTTAATGGCTTTGAGTCGTACCTGTGTGACCGTTGACGAACATATCAGTCCCTAGTGTAAGTGACGATGAACGCTTATTACTGTCGTTTTATCAATTTCGTGTTATTATCGGTTTGATGTCAATAATTTATCAATCTATTATAGAACTTTCAAAATAGAGTGCATTATGACTACAACAATTTAACAAACCTGTATTACTTCTCAGCACAACTCTATATTGTTCTCCTTCATGTGTAATTTGCAGTCTATATCTCGTATTGTGACTATGACTTTAGACTGACATGAGTACATTACACATTCAACATTCCTCCATTCTCATTAAGAACTATGGGATCATCTCGTAAAATTTAATTACAATGTTAAACAAACTACCCAATCAGCTCACGTTTATGTCAACTTGATGCAAATCAACTGAAGTGCATTTATACAACTCTGATAAACGCCGGAATTTAATTTTATATTAAAATGATATTGTCATCATTTAATGTGTGCTCAAAAGACCTACCAACCATGAAGTAATTCACTCAGTGCCGTTTGCAAAACTAGATCTTACTTAGATTGCATGGTACAGATTGCACCAATGAGATGGTGGAAACCAAACGCAGTACCAAATGCCATCACATAAATCATCAGTATTTTTTATATGTCTGTAGAATTATGGTCTGGTTCTGTATATGTACCACGATAGTACTATACTTAATCCGAAAACGGTCGATTTGTCATGATGTGATTATATAGTCTATATGTTTGTTCCTGGAAGTATCTCCATCGTCTCAACTGACTCGTCCGATCGTGACTAGTAGCAATGACGTCTAGCAGTCCAAGAGACCACATTTGAGCACGGATGAATACGAAAAATCGGATGAATGAATAGTCAAAAAGTTGTGAGGGCTGACCACACTTGCACAATGTTTTTTTTATAATTGACTGTTTCTACTACTGTCTAATTACACACCAGATTGAGCCCGTGGTTAAGAGATAAATTTCAAAAAGCTAATGAAACTCTAACTGAACCATTTACATTTGAATAACTTACCCTTAGGTTAGAGTTTATTCTCTCTTCAACTGATCACATACCCATTTGCTTTTATACTTTTATTTCACACTGAGATTGTGAGTTTCAATCAATCAGGTCATCGTAAATACGATCAGACTCATAATGGCTATCGAGAGTGTAATCAAAATATTAGCTGGTTACATACAGTGGACGTGTGAGACATTAATGCATGACAAATTTACGAAATTATATGAAGAGTAACTAACATTAGGTTACTAGTTACAAGCACATATACATACAAGTAATTGAATGACTTGTTTCCAGATTAACAGTAATATTAACTTTTGACCTAATTAAAAATTATATTGAAGACAACAATTGTTACTTTCTTATTCTTAACATTATAAACTGATCTCAGTTAAATATCCACTCAAAACTAAGACGTGTTGGAATACAATTCCGTTTGATGTTAGGACTTCTCAAACGTCTCACCTATGGTTAGATATTTGATTGTAAGATTTAATGGAAAGCTCCTAACGTCCAGACTTACAATCCGATATCTTACAGTTGACATGGTTAACCACAGTCAGTTATTAATATTTGGACATTCGTTTATAACATTTATGAATAAGGATGCACTTTTGGGTTTAGTTTTTTTAATAGATTGGTATGACTATTTCGTTGAAATACTTGTGGAACTTATCATGAGCGTTTCTAATATGTATGTATGAGGAAGAACATCGAGGCAGAATAGACTTTCTAGACGTTATACTTGTATGAAGAAACAGCGGGTCATTAAGGAGCAACATAAACTAGAACACTACTGAAACGGGCGGATTTACAAATTTTCTTAGTTTTGTTCATCTACAATAATAATGGGAGCTGATTAAGACATTTTGCCATGGAATGGAGAGCATTTGCTTTCTGGTTGCGGCTGAAGATGAAAAAACATTGAACAAGACCCTGAAAGAAAACAAATGTCCATAGAAAATCATGAATAAACATATAACCGGTGAAAGGGAGCATAAGGAATATCTAATCGTGAACAAAACGCCTCTCTTTATACGCTTATAATTCAGAGGCGATGCACCCAGTGAAATGCTGAGACTAAAGGTACGCAGACCAATCCCAAGAAGTCTGATACAGGCAAACTACAATCAGTGCTTACTACAAGTTCAATGATCACTGCGAGGTTGTTAGATAAATTGAGAAGACTGGCCTCTTCTTTCGAAGTCTATCGATTAAACTGCTCCTTTGGAGCACGTCAAAGTAATAATGATGTTCTGGGAGTTTATATATACGTGCTCGTGAGCACTTTCAAGTGTGGCTAAGCAACGATGTAGTTAAAACTGGTGAAACCTACATTTTAGCTCACTTATTTCAAATGGGACATATAGCCAACACAGTGTATTCTTTCATAATAATATATTGTGTTAACAGAAATCTACTTGATTCTGTCAGTCTGCAGATATCTGAAGAAAATGCTATTCAGATTACAAATTTTTTCACACCTGCCAACCCATTTTTGAGAAATTTATGCACTATTCAACACTGACTATTTCCGATCGAATTCATCATATTCTATATGTTAAGCGGTTCCTGATTTGTATTTACATAATTATCTCACTCCTTATGGGGTGATATGGGGATAATAATGTCACACCTAATTGGCCACATACATTCAGTGCGTTTTACGTGATTCCTTTAGTGTCCAGTTCAGTTTCAACAATGGAGTATATAGACAAAGTGATGAGATAGCAATGGAGTCTCCATTGAGTACATTTTAAGCCGATTATGTGGTGTTGACTTGAGTCAGTTTATAATTGAAATCAAAATGTGAGGTAAATTATGATCGTTATAAATATAATTAGCATGGCGTGTGAGAGAGATATAGAAAGGATAATGGAATAAGAAATCAATAGTTATGTAAAAGGCTCTGTAATGTGATTTTTATGTACGGATGAAGATCATTGAATCGCTCAATGTCTACCAAGCCGGTATGGTCATTACGAAGCAGAAACGTATCGTCCGTATATCGGCAGTAAAATGAAAGATTGTCAATGCGTTGTGCCAGTGGACCATTCTCTAGTCTAGAGGAAAAACTTTCAGACAACACGGGACCGTTGTGTGAACACACAGCGACACCACCTGTTCGTCTAAACATCTTCTCATTGAATTTGACATCATACCGATAATAACACGAAATTGATAAAACGACACTGATAAGCGTTCATCGTGAGTTACACTAGGGACTGATACGTTCGTCAACGATCACACACTCAAAGCCATTAAAGACGATTGCGCTCAAACGTTACACTTCTAAACACCTGATCCGGCTTCCAACGGTCTCAATGTCTAACATCAAACCATCCGCGATATTGCGCAAACATCCATCACTATGCTGATAGCACATTTTCAAATGAAATTCAATTTTAATTCTATTTTATCTTACAGATAAATAATTCAATTACATTCGAAACCGTTTCACCTCAGAATAATAATGAAATACATCTGTGTTGTCGTTTTATTATTTACAACTTTATTGCTCAACACTTACAATGCCAAGGAAGAAAGTTCATTAGAACCAACCTCAACTCTATTAAACTTCACCGATCCTCAAATCACAACAGTATTTGAAAATTGGACTGAGGTATCAGATGCTATTCTAATTGGAGGGCGATCTAAAGCTACAATCGTACACCTAAATGGAACGGTAAATGTTGCTTATAAATATAATGTAAGTTACATCATGTTTAGAATTACCAATCGGCATTATTGTTTTATCTACTCAACCCACGGGAAAATGGATCAAGTTTCGCTGGTGTCTACAGGATATTGGATACTCCGGATATTTCAAAATATACAGGTGTTGTGATTGATCTACATAGACAGGGATTAAATTCTAAATTCCAATTTGTACTCTTTGGCGAATGTTCAGATATACGAAATTGTGAATCACATGAGTCGCAATTTGAGGTAATGAGATATTCAATTGTGTAGAATGATTCAATGTGTTTTCTATGAAATATTTATAGACATCTGGAGAACGAGAGAGAGTAAAAATACCATTTAGTACATTCAAACCATACTTTCGTGGAACACCAAAATCTAATATAACGCTTCCAAATTTATCTCATACATCACGTATTGTAATAAAAGTATATGGAGGAAGCAATACGACCACAAATCATTTTGGTCCAGGTTCCATCGAAATATTCACTATTTCAGCATACACGGATGATCAAACGCCAGCTTAAACAAATCGAACTTATAGGAATTATAGACAACTTGATATGTAGCGCTTATTCATATTATGATTATTTTCGTTTGTATTAAGTGGTTTTATCAATAGACATAATACATCTACCTACGAGTTTTGAATGTTTTAATGGGTTTCTTGTAGTTCATCGTTAAAGGCAAGCGGTGATGAATTTAAGATGATCGATTTCCTGTTTACCTTAAAAGTGAATATCAGTCGTTTTATATACATCAAAAAACGTTTAATTTCAAGTTTCCAACGAATTGATGCACTTTTTAAACAGCATGAGGTTCAATGAATGGATATTCTTTCAATGATCATATTATCATGCTTTTCAGTCGTGAATGGACATGAAAATCTTTCGTTGTAGTTGTACTCTTGAAAACTTATGAACTAATGTTAATGTTGATGATGTAATTGATAGATTATAATACTAGATTACGTAATGTGTATGAAAACAATAAACGTGAAAATTTAGTAACGGATCGTGACACAAATGTGTCAGGATGATTGAAATTTTACGATCGGTTTAAGAAT